TTCCTCTTCTTCCTCTTCTTCCTCTTCTTCCTCTTCTTCCTCTTCTTCCTCTTCTTCCTCTTCTTCCTCTTCTTCCTCTTCTTCCTCTTCTTCCTCTTCCTCTTCTTCCTCTTCTTCCTCTTCTTCCTCTTCCTCTTCCTCTTCTTCCTCTTCCTCTTCCTCTTCTTCCTCTTCCTCTTCTTCCTCTTCCTCTTCCTCTTCTTCCTCTTCTTCTTCCTCTTCCTCTTCTTCCTCTTCCTCTTCCTCTTCTTCCTCTTCCTCTTCTTCCTCTTCCTCTTCCTCTTCCTCTTCTTCCTCTTCTTCCTCTTCCTCTTCCTCTTCCTCTTCCTCTTCCTCTTCTTTCTCTTTCTCTTCTTCCTCTTCCTCTTCCTCTTCCTCTTCCTCTTCCTCTTCTTCCTCTTCCTCTTCCTCTTCTTCCTCTTCTTCCTCTTCCTCTTCCTCTTCCTCTTCTTCCTCTTCTTCCTCTTCTTCCTCTTCTTCCTCTTCTTCCTCTTCCTCTTCCTCTTCTTCCTCTTCTTCCTCTTCTTCCTCTTCCTCTTCCTCTTCTTCCTCTTCCTCTTCTTCCTCTTCTTCCTCTTCTTCCTCTTCTTCCTCTTCTTCCTCTTCCTCTTCCTCTTCCTCTTCCTCTTCCTCTTCTTCCTCTTCTTCCTCTTCTTCCTCTTCTTCCTCTTCTTCTTCCTCTTCTTCCTCTTCCTCTTCTTCCTCTTCTTCCTCTTCCTCTTCTTCCTCTTCCTCTTCTTCCTCTTCTTCCTCTTTCTCTTCCTCTTCCTCTTCTTCCTCTTCCTCTTCCTCTTCCTCTTCCTCTTCTTCCTCTTCTTCCTCTTCTTCCTCTTCCTCTTCCTCTTCTTCTTCTTCTTCCTCTTCCTCTTCTTCCTCTTCCTCTTCCTCTTCTTCCTCTTCTTCCTCTTCCTCTTCCTCTTCTTCTTCTTCCTCTTCCTCTTCTTCCTCTTCCTCTTCTTCCTCTTCTTCTTCCTCTTCTTCCTCTTCCTCTTCTTCCTCTTCTTCCTCTTCCTCTTCCTCTTCCTCTTCTTCCTCTTCTTCCTCCTCTTCCTCTTCCTCTTCCTCTTCTTCCTCTTCTTCCTCTTCTTCCTCTTCCTCTTCTTCCTCTTCTTCCTCTTCTTCCTCTTCCTCTTCCTCTTCTTCCTCTTCTTCCTCTTCCTCTTCCTCTTCCTCTTCTTCCTCTTCCTCTTCCTCTTCTTCCTCTTCTTCCTCTTCTTCCTCTTCCTCTTCTTCCTCTTCTTCCTCTTCTTCCTCTTCCTCTTCTTCCTCTTCTTCCTCTTCCTCTTCTTCCTCTTCTTCCTCTTCCTCCTCTTCTTCCTCTTCTTCCTCCTCTTCCTCCTCCTCTTCCTCTTCCTCTTCCTCTTCTTCCTCTTCTTCCTCTTCCTCTTCTTCTTCCTCTTCTTCCTCTTCCTCTTCTTCCTCTTCCTCTTCTTCCTCTTCTTCCTCTTCCTCTTCTTCCTCTTCCTCTTCTTCCTCTTCCTCTTCTTCCTCTTCCTCTTCTTCTTTCTCTTCCTCTTCTTCTTCTTTCTCTTCTTCCTCTTCCTCTTCCTCTTCTTCCTCATCTTCCTCTTCTTCCTCCTCCTCTTCCTCTTCCTCTTCCTCTTCCTCTTCCTCTTCTTCCTCTTCCTCTTCTTCCTCTTCTTCCTCTTCTTCCTCTTCCTCTTCTTCCTCTTCCTCTTCCTCTTCCTCTTCTTCCTCTTCCTCTTCTTCCTCTTCCTCTTCTTCCTCTTCCTCCTCTTCCTCTTCTTCCTCTTCTTCCTCTTCTTCCTCTTCTTCCTCTTCTTCCTCTTCCTCTTCTTCCTCTTCTTCCTCTTCCTCTTCCTCTTCTTCCTCTTCCTCCTCTTCCTCTTCCTCTTCCTCTTCCTCTTCCTCCTCTTCCTCTTCTTCTTCTTCTTCCTCTTCCTCTTCTTCCTCTTCCTCTTCTTCCTCTTCCTCTTCCTCTTCTTCCTCTTCTTCCTCTTCTTCCTCCTCCTCTTCCTCTTCTTCCTCTTCTTCCTCTTCTTCCTCTTCTTCCTCTTCTTCCTCTTCCTCTTCTTCCTCTTCTTCCTCTTCCTCTTCTTCCTCTTCCTCTTCTTCTTCTTCTTCGCCTTCTTCTCTTTCTTCTCCTTCTTCACTTACTTCTCTTTTTTCTCCTTCTCCTTCTCCTCCTCTTCCTCCTTCCTCTTCCTCTTCTTCCTCTTCTTCCTCTTCTTCCTCTTCCTCTTCCTCTTCCTCTTCTTCCTCTTCCTCCTCTCCTTCCTACTCCACCTCTCCACTCTTAATCCACTATATTCTTTCCTTCTCTTCTTTTCCTCTTGCTCTTCCTGTTCCTCTTCCTACTACTCCACCTCCTCTCCTTCCTATTCCACCTCCTCTCCTTCCTACTCCACCTCCTCTCCTTCCTACTCCACCTCCTCTCCTTCCTATTCCACCTCCTCTCCTTCCTACTCCACCTCTCCACTCTTAATCCACTATATTTCTTTCCTTCTCTTCATGTGGGTTGGTTATGAATGAACTATGAACTATATAGTAAGCTGGTCAGGCTTTTGAGTCAGGATGTTTGCTCTGAATGAAATATATGTGTGTGTGTGTGGGGGGGGGGGTATATATATGTGTATTGCTGTCTGTCTGTCTGTGTGCTTTTGTTAATATGAATCATGTGATGACATCCAGATACATGTATGTGTATGTTGATGAGGAAATGTGTATTATTTTTTGGTAGATTTACTTTCAAAATGTATTGCAAAACAAGAACATAATGAAAAGATCTGTTCAAATGCTTTTAATGATGATGGAAAGATGTAAGTACCAGATATTTCCTTGACTTTTTTGTAGGTTGAATGTGCAATGTGAATATTATGAATTAATAGATCTGTATGTCATATCCTGTGGAAGCATAGGCTAATATCACCAAAGGATGATTGCTGTGTACTTTCAAATGCTCTTTGTATAAAGGATGTAAGAAATTGCATTACATTAATGTAATGATAATGGAATTTAGCAGTCATGTTCTGGTCTTGCATTAAAGACACAAATAGAATAGAGATTAAGAGATTTAATAAAACAATAACAGAGACATTAGTTATAAAGGTTAATGAATTTTAAAAGAGAATATTCAGTGGTTGGAAGGTAGAGGGAGAATCCTGCTGCACTGGTCAGATGAACACAAGCAGATTTTAAAATTCCTTTCATACATCCCTTCTGACTGTCCATAATTGCTCAAACTAATGGGAATGTTGCCCTTCGTGCACAGTCATTTCATGTCCTCATAGCTTGTACAGAAATGATGAGGCGTTCTTATTATTTTGAGGAAAACTTGCTTAACTTTTGCAATTTATATGGTGTGGGCAATGGTCTTTGTAAATTATGTGAATTCATTTAGGTAAGGAAATAAAGGAAAATCTTTGCACTTAATGGGAAAGAAAATAGATTAGTTAAACTTGCAGCTCAGGTAATGGAATAATAGCCGAGACTGAAGTGATTAAATACTGTTATAGACTTTGTCATTGCATTTAGTCATTTGTATATTTTTTTCCTGTTCAGCTTCAGGAATATTGAAATATAATCTTTCTCTCCAGCATATGATAAATAACTTTTTGAAAATTTTGAGATATGACTTGAAGTAAAACCACAAAATCAGAAACATTCTGAAAGGGCTGTTGAAGTTAAGCTGGTTCTGATTATGTTAACAGTAAGAAGGAAAGGATTATTTGGTTGTTACCCCACCAAAATGGTCCTCACACAAGCTTCTAACCTGCAATGACTGATGCGAAGCCTCTCTCTTACATGCAGCCTGGGCAGCAAGCTAATTTGCTTTGCAGGACAGGTGTCGGTGAATGTGTGGGTGAGAGCTCTATTACAAGAAAAAAAGAAAAAAAAAAAAACTTTTTTGAACATAGAAACGTCTGCTAAGATGCCACTAGTTAGGATTATAGAGGGTGGAGCAGTAGACGTCAAAAATTGTTCTTACTTATGTACTCATGTTATTTCAGATTTCAGTATTTCCTTTTCATCCTGAGTCCTATGAGCACAGACTGAGGGCAGCTCTCATAATTGGTGGTTTTTCCGATTAAGAATAATTGGCCAAAGAAAATTCCTCGTACATTGTTGTCTTTAGTATGTGACTGTCTGTCGTAAACCCTAATGAGTCCTTGAAAGTTTAGTCGTTCCCCAAGCCCGGAAAACTCAGGGGTGGGTACGGTCCAGACCCTCCCGTGGTGAGCCGGGCTTGAACAATGTGTGTCTGTTGGCTAGGGTGAGTGTGTGGTGTTGCAGCCCTCTTAGGTTCTTGTTTAGGGTGTGTCCAGTGCCCTCAAACAACCAACCTTGGGGTTCTGTGTTTCCATGTGAAAGTTGCCCTCTGTCTGTATTCCATATTTATTTATTTGGTAGTTATTTTATTTAATGTTTATTACATGATTTCTAAGTCTTAGTGTAAGTATGATTTTTTTTTCCGTTTATTATGATTTTTCTTTTTGCCGAATGAGGGTTGTTCCAGATTTATGATTTGCATGTGCCTTAGTTTTCATTATGTCCAATACAAGCTGTCAGAATCATATAGTTAAGGCTAGAACAGTTATGTCAGCTTTCTCTCACTCTTGGCTTAACCTGTACAGTTTTAAATCTTGATGTTCTGGCAAGGTGTGTAAACAAGTAACTATGACTAGATATTTTCCTCCTTGTATAGTGTAGCAGTCCTGCTCATGTTAATTGCCAGAGTTCCTTAATGTGTCAGTTGTTAATAATACTACAAATGTTGACACAGTCTACAGTCACTAGCATAAGATATATCACGTAATGATCACGTAAGACTTGCTTTAGTACTTAGGATGTAGATGGTAGGAAGTGAAACTTTCAGTACTCGTACTAGTCAGCTTTCACCCACTGATCTCATAATGCATAGGACTTAAGACGGACAGCTTGTGTTGTACTTATCTTCATCTAATCTCTTGTGTCTGTGGAACTTTCTGTTAAATCTCAGTTATTTTTATGTTTTGTTTTCTTTTTATTTTCATTCCTAGTTTGGGCCACGAGCAGCTCCGAGTGAAGATCAACAGCCACCGTACCAAGCCAAGGAGAACTTAATGCTGAAACCATGGAATGAATGTACAATATTAGGTTTTGGTTGATTGCCGCTATGTACATAATAGGGAGCCTCTATGTCAACCTTTGTATCAGTGTAGTGGTGGAAGTATCAGATAAGGATGTTCACTAAATGGCTAGTATGTTATCAGCAGATTCAATATTTCAAACTTAGATCAAGCAGTTAATCTTTTTAATATTTTCTGCATCATGGAGGTAGGAATATAGCGACAGTTTTGTCTCATAAAAAGCAGACATACCTATTGTATTTCATTTTTCATTATGAATATCTCCCTAGTCATTTGGAACTGATATATAAATATATGAATATATATATATACTTCATTTGATTAATTATCCTGATGCCTTTCTGTAATATTTTATATGTAAAGGGCATTTCCAGATTGTGCAGTGGTTATCATGTTATACAGCTTTGTCACCCTCCTGGAACAGCCCTTGGTGCATCATTCCTCAAGTTTGTGTGTACCAATTTTAATGTTTTCCACTCATTTGGCAAAGGGAAGATCTTCAGCTTCAGTCACCGTAACCAAAGAGAGGAAGGACCAGTGGCCGGTGCCCCCCACGGCGCATGATTGGCCCAATCTTACTGACGCCGTTCCTTTGCGATGGTTGGAATATGTGCCTTCCGCAGTTGCTTGTAAATTGTTACAAGTCCACAGGTCCTTCCTCTCTGGTTAATTTATTTTTAGGTGCATAGACCAAATGTATCTTTACTTATTGATTAGGGGATTCAGACTTGGATAAAAGTGAATGTGGAATTGTATTATAATAACCTAAAGATGTTAAGAATTGTTAGAGATGTGTGAATAATAGGCTATATATAACCACATGTTTGAATCCAGAAGCCTAATGATTATAAACACTATTATAAATTCTTTAGAGTCCAACATATCTACTGCTCTGTAGCAATGTATCTAAAGGAATATCACTCTGTTAAACGTGAAATATAGTGTGTTTATGTCATTTAATCTTTTTATTTTTACCTTCTTTATTTTTACCTAAAACATGAAATAGTGATGCAAATGATTTTTTTTTTTTTTAAGTTTATTAATCAGTTACTGTAAAGTGAAGGGTTATTCAGCATTTAATGAAAAATGCTAATACTGAAGTAGTGCACTAATGCAACACAAGAAGAGTCTTTAAAAGTTGAAATCAGAATATAATTTTGTGTAAGCCACCTTTGTTGTATTTCATCCATTGTCTACTGTATTTATCCTGTGAATGGTATACATGCCTAGTCTATTGTAGTTTAGTGCTTTGTTCCTAGTCGCCAAGGAATTGATTACAGACCCAGCTGATCTCATGTATTAAGTTTATTTCTTGAGTAGCTTCAAGGAAATAGGTAAACAGTTGAAGTCAGAGAGGCCTAATAATTGACTCTTTGGTGACTTAGGTGCTTGTAAAGCCATTTATGTGTGAACCAATGTGAAAACCAAAACAAATAGAGTGGACAGTGCAGTTAATTGCTATTGTGTGAAAACTAAAATATGTCTGAAAAGTGTGTCAGCAAAGCAAAGCTTAAGTGCTGAATAACCCTACTTGCAAGTATTTGTTTTATTTATCTTAAACTATTAAGAAAATTTTGTTATATTAAGTTTGTAGATGACATCACAACTTCTAATCCCAAAATTAAAAATATTTAGTAATTGAGAGTAGATACATAGGTAGTAACCACATCATCAAGTTATTAAAAAAAAAAGAAAAAAGAAAAAAAAAGTTACTGTAGATAATGTTACCCCAATCAGCATGGATAGTAAGAATACATGCCATGCCCACTGTAATATAAGGTCATTTATTGTATTTACACACAGATGGCTCTTTAAGTGCTTAGTCACCAAGGAGTCAGTTATTAGTCCCACCTGTCTTGCCTGTTCACCCTTTTCCTTAATTTATGGAAAGTTTCTTTTGTGTTATTTTATTGTCTTTAATGTTACCAATATTTTAATAACAATTCAATATTTTAATAACAATTCAATAATCATAATATCAATAAGAATATTAATAGTATCAATATCAATAGTATTAGAAAGAAAAACACATTTTTTCCGCAATGTCAAGGAATAGGGAAGTCAGGGGTGGTCACTAGGGCCTGCAGATAGACTCCTTGCTGGTTGAGCACATGTAGAGCCATCTGTATGTAACAAAAAGTAACAAAAACTACGGGGAACAGTACATAAGTCTGTAGTCATTGTGTTACATAGCTGATTTCATTTGAAGATATGGTAAGAACCTTCTGCCTACCTTTACTAATACACTTTTATTCAAGACTGTAATAATATGAAAACATGGGCATTTCTACAACTTTTGTGAACTTTTGTTAATTATTTTAGATAAAAAAGAAAATTTGAGTAACTATCTGAAGTGGAATTAGGTGAAAATATTATCTTGTATAGGCTTCAGGAATCTAAGAAAAAAAAAATTTCTTCACAATCAGTAACTTTTGCATCAGATCTTCATTTTTATTTCCAGTATGAAATATTCATCCCAATATCCTGTACCCAGCTCTCATTACTTTTCAGCGACTTGTAAAGATATCTGTGGCTTGTAATGGTCTTAAGAATATTGTACACTAGACACATAAATATGTAGTTTACAGTAAGCTTTACTATAATTAGACAGACTTTCTGATATACTTGCCAGGAGTTAACATGGTGTAATGAAGAATATTTGCACAGGAATTTTTAAAAAATCACAAATAACAAATGTCCAATGCATCTTCAAAATTTAGCAATCACTAAACATGGTTAGGAGAACTTTCTAAAGCTTACAACATCAACTTAAAAAGGTATCAGAAGAAAAGTTATCATGTATGTTGTAACTATACATGCAACAAATCCCAGTCTGGAAAAAGTTTTTCAGCTTACTTTTTCATTATCCCATCCATGGTGGCCCACTGGATATGTATTGAAAGTATAGGGGATGGCAGGTCATCTAATATAATGTGTTATGGTTCACATGCATGGTAAATTGTCTTGGCAGGAAATAGGTTATCAGAAAGTTCTGGGTACCCAAGCACTTAGCCAGCTACTCACAAACTCAGTGTGTACAGTACATTTAGAAACTGATTCAGTCATCAAGCACTCGGCATTTGATGACTGAATCAGTTTGTATATTGACCAAAGCGGTTAAGAATTACAAATCATTTCTTGTGTTTGACCTCTCATGGTCACTCTCGGTTCCCTGTAACCTCAACTCATGGCAACATTTTTGACCATTGTTCACAATTTCTGATTATTTTTTACATTTTCTTTAAAAATGTTGATTTGTCAAAAATTTGTCATGTGAATATTGCATTGTAACATCTATCCTTTCCAGGAAAGTTTAAATTAACTTCCATTTCCAGAGATACATGATCCCCCCAAATTCATACTGTAGTTTCAATAGTAATCACTGTTTTACTCATTTTATTTTATATTCCCAATATTTTTTATGCATTACTCAATACCAACTCATCACAGAAATT